CTAAAGAAAGATGCTATGGATATAAAAATATCAGAGGAAATGCTCTTTAAAGCAATTAAACATGGAAATCAGAGTTAAAAAGGAAAATATAAATATAACACAATGAAAAAATGGTCAGTGATGCAATGACTTAATTATCCCGAATAGGTACACCCTAATAACATAGCTTGAAAGTATGAGGCCAAATGTGATAAAAATAAAAGCCAATTTAGAGGAAACCCATAATTACAATATGAAATCATAGCATTCTTCTACCAATAACTCATAGACTACCCTTTTCCCTAAATCACAAAGGATATACAAGATTTTAGAAAACATGATTAATAAACTTGACATAATTAGGATATTTTTGTTTTTAATTTGCTATAAGTTGTGTACATTTTCTGAAGAGAGACAGAACGAGAGAGAGAGACAAAGTGAGAAAGCACTCCTATGGGGGGTGGGAGGGATGGCCATCCTGTAATCCTTTCTCTTCCAGTCTCCTCTTGAAGTTTTGGGCACACATAGACTTGTGCCTAGCGTGCTTTTCAAGTTACCAGGTCTGGGATTCAAACGATGCTATACGCCATGTAGAATCCAGCAGCCTTAACCACCTCACCACTAACTGGCCAGAAGTAATTAAATTTTAGTAGCAATGTATTAAACACTGTAGGATACACATTCCATTCAAATTCACATGGAATATTTCCCAAATATATTATGTGCCAAGACAAACTTAAGAAACACAGAACACCAATCTTAAAGTAACTTTTTTCAGAAAACAGAAAAAAAGTGCTCACTTCCCAATCAAATTGATAAGGCCACACATAACCTTGATATCAAAAACTGAAGAAAGAGCCCTATAAGAAATAACATTTACAGGCCCCAACATCTGAATATAAATGAAAAAAATTCTAAACAAATATTAGCAAATCAAATCCATTGACAATGCTTATAGCTGAGTTGGTTTATACTAGGAATATAATTCTTTCATTTTATTTAATTTTTTCCTTAGGTTTTACAATAGGATGCAAATGCCTACCAGAGAGAGACAGAGAAATATATAGAAGGAAAGTGATACATCTCCCCCCCCCACACACACACACACCCAAGAGAGGATGGCCATGCGGCAATCCCTTCTCTACCATTCTCCTCCTGGGATTTTGGGCACACATGCACACACACTAGGCATGATTTTCAAGCTACCAGGTCTAGGACTTGAACTGTGGCAGACCATGTGGGAATTCAACACCTTAACCACCATGCCACCTGCTGTCTCCTAGGAATACAATTTTTAATATCTGAAAATTAGTTAGTATTAGATGCATAAAACCTATTTGATAAAATCCAAATAACATATGCAACCACTATCCTCATCCTCATCATTCTCAGCATCATCATCTTGATCTCTAAAATGGTAAAAGGTAACTTCCTTACTCTGTATAGTTTCAACAAGAAACCTACAGGAAGCATCTTACTTGGTGGTGAAATATTGAAAGCTCTTATCCTGAGACCAGGAACTAGGAAAGAAAGTTTACTAACAGCACCACTATTTAGCATTGTACTTGAGGTAGCCATTGAAAAAATAAGGCAAATTAATAGAAATAAAAACTGAAAAAAAAAAGTTATTCTCAGATGACATGATTAAAGACATACAATAATCAAAAGCAGAAATCCTATTAAAACAAATAAGTGATTTAAGGAAAGTGGATGAATAAAAGAGCAATAGAAAATAAATTGCATTTCTATGTACTAATTGAGCATAAACATCAAATACTTAGTGACAAATTTAAGCTAAAACGTACAAGACCATTATGAAGAAAACCTTGATGGTTTCTTGCTACAGTAGATATTCCAAAAAGCTTTGTATATTTTATTTATTTATTATTTTTAAATTTTATTTTAATCAGTACTATTATATCAGGAAAAACAGAAAGTGGCCTCTCATTAATATAAGTTATTATGAAACGGTATTTTAAATGTTAAAGTTCATTGTGAATAAATTCTTCTCAGTGAAGAAAGCAGGCTCAAGTCATAGTGGCATAGTGGTTAAGCTGGCTAGATCCTACCTGGCAGATTCCAAAGGTTCAAGTTTCAGACCTGGCAGCTTGAAAAACACACCAGGCATGTTTATGTGCATGCCAAAAATCCTAAGAGGATAGCAGAGGAGAAAGGACTGCAGTGTGGTCTTCCTCCCTGAGGGGTGATTTCTCACCTTCTCTCTCTTCCTCTCTGTTTCTTTCTGGCAAACTCATGTGCCTCTAACTAAACAGGAAGGAAGGAAGGAAGGAAGGAAGGAAGGAAGGAAGGAAGGAAGGAAGGAAGGAAGGGAGGAAGGAAGGAAGGAAAGAAGGAAAGCAGGAAGAAAGAGGGAGGGAGGGAGGGAGGGAGGAAGGAAGAAAGAAAGAAGCTTCCATTCACTAACTTCTTTAAAAATGAGATAAATAAGATTTAATTTTAAAGAATATTGTAAAGACATTTACAATGGAAAGTAAACCATTATGATTCTTCAGGAGTGATATAATTGTATTCAAAAACATTGTTTTTAAAATAGATTGTTTTGTTTTATTAAATAGAAATAAAACATGTTTTACTAAGACTAAATAACTGATTTTCTAAAGACAATTTCAAAAAGGAAATAATTCAATTTCTTCCAGCATTTGAGGTTTTAGACAGGAAAAGGTGTAAAATAATTATAAATTTTACATTATGTTATCCATGCATCACCTAAAAAACATTAGTCCTGACTTTTCTAGTAACATGCTGATTAGGATCATGTTTCTAAAAACAATTTCCTATCTTAAAAGAATAATCAAATTTATTTTTTAACCTGCCAGAGGGTGTGTGGACTCACCAGAGATAGAGAAAGAGAGAGAAAAAGTAAGAAAGCTCCTGTTCCCGCAGGGGGAGGATAGTCATGCTGCAATCTCTTCTGCATTTTTCTCTTCCTTCAGGAGTCTGGGCATGCACATACACACATGCATTGTTTTTCAAAGCACTGGGTCTGGACATGAACCACATAGCCAGCCACATGGATTCAGCCACCTTAACCACCAGGCCACCAGCTGGCCTAAATGTTGAATTTTTAAAGTTTCCCCTTTGATTAAGGTATGATTATAATATGGAAAACAATTTAAGTATGAGCAGCAGTGTTCTGTTTTCATAACAGTTTCATCTTAACCTTTTATTGATGCAAATTTTTTGAGTACATAATTTAGTATTGCAATAAAATTTGAAGACTCTTGCTCAGTTATGTGTGATGAAAAAAACAGAGAAAATATGTAATATCAATGTTATGTCTCTTTATTAAATTTTGAAAGAAAGTATACCATTGAATGTTAAAATTCTCATCCAAGTGTCACATGGACACACTTGGAGTTATAAAGTTACATTTAACTCACAGAGTAGGGTGTGTTGTAATATCACTCACATTTTAATTTTCTATATGATATATTAAAATAATTAGAAATAAATTACTATATCAGTTATTATGAGAGAAACTTGAAGCTGATTTAGATTATTCTGTTTTTATTAGCACATTCTAGAAATGCTATAGAAATCTTCCCTCTTCTGGGCCCTTTTTAAAGACAGAGCATTAGTCCAATGGACTTCCCAGACTATGCAGTCTCCATAACCAAAAGGGGTTTGCCAAGGCGTCCTTCTTAGTGGTGGAAAATACTAGAAGGAGTAATCCATTAGATTTCAGGGTGACATCCTAGCTTTCTTCAGTTTATTATACTCTGAAAAATTCCATGTGTGGCAAGTCACTGACTCATACTAGGTTAATCTCTATATCATCATGTACTTGTTTCCATCTGGTGGTCCCAGGCTAAGAGGTAGGGTCCATTCAAGCATGTAAAATTGGAGATGACTACAAATACAATGGTCAGAGTATATATCTCATCATCAGGTTTTCTTTTTTAAAAAAAGAATTTTTTTATTTAGCTTTATTTATTTTTTATTTATTTTAACTTTGACCAGAGAGGGACAAATGGAGAGAGAGAAGGAAAGTGAGAAAGCAAGTCACCAGGTCTGGGACTCAAACCGTGGTTGACCATGTAGGAGTCCAACACCCTTAACCATCATGAGATCTGCCAGTCCCTCATGATCAGGTTTTAAGAAGAATAGGTAGAACTTTGAAAAAATGATAATTAGCATAGGTAGATGTAGAAAAAAAATTGGGGGGAAAATCTATATGTTCCATGTTAGTTAGGCTGCTTTCTAATACAAAAGATAATTACTTATTAAATTATGCAATTATAGCATTTTTTGAAATTCTGTTTTATATCATATGCCCCTTATAATTAAATTAATTTGTATCCCAGCCACTTACAAAATAGAGTTTAAGGCAGAGCTTCTATAATTTGATAGCCAATAAAAATACAGTTTTGGATAATTTTGTGTCTTAAGAATTCCATTACTTTCTTTTCATAATGTAGTGAGAAGAATGTAGTATCTATTCTGTTGTATTCTTGCCAAAAACAGTAACCTGACTTTAATCAGAAGGAACTAAATGACAAACACAAATTCAGAGACATTCTACAAAATAATGGATCAGTACGTTTTAAAAGTATCAAGTTTCTGAAATGCAAAAAATAAAAAAGTGAAAAACAAACAAACAAAACGAGGAACTGTTCCATTTTAAAGGAGACTAAAGGAAATTGTCAACTAAATGTAACTTGTAATCTTGGATTGGATCTCAGAGTAAAAACAGGACATTGGCAGGACAACTGGCAAACCTGGATCAGGTCAACTAGGTCACAGTATTGTTATAACTGCTAATTCCCTAATTTTGGTAACCTCAGGAGAATCTGGTTAAAGAGTACAAAGGTACTCTAGTAAAAAACATTCTATGACCACCTTTATGCAGTGTACAAACTTGCAGGGCAAATGAAGATGATCAGAAAGTTATGAGCATTCTTGTTCAAGTGTTATTCATATATATATATACACGCAGTCCAAAATAATACCTTTTAAAACTATTTTAAGACTAGTATCCATATGTTAGAGTTGGTACTTACTTCATCAAAAGTAAAATCCTCTATATTTATTTCTTCATATTCTTCTTCAGATTCTTCATTTTTAATAGCCTCTAGAGCTGTTGTCAGTTTCTTTCTCAAAATAAAGCCTTTCCAAATGGCCTAAACAAAAATTTAAAGTATGTTATACAAGGTTATAGATCAAATCCCAACCAGATTCTCTGTGTTATCCCATTAGGAAGATAAAACATCTTAGAACTTAGTTTAATGGCTCAATAATCTGTTTTTTGAACTTTATGTGACACTTAAAACTACAAGATAAATTAAACGACTACATATGTCTGAAGTGCTGAATCTCAGGAGACTTCCCTTCTGGTAAGCTGAAAAGAATCTTTAAAACTCCCTCAACTGCACATGTAGGTCAACCAATCAATTATCTGACAATTCCTCTAGGACTCATTCTAAACAAAGAAGGAGATACAAAGGAAAACCAATTTTGCTAATTTTCAAATGATTATGTCTAAAACAAGTTAAAGCACAGTTAGGAAAACTTCAACATGCCTAAATAGTCACGTTAGAGGTAAGATCACGACCCATAAAAATTAAGTAATTTTATTTTAAAATAAATTAAACCCAGGATAGTATAATAAAAAAAATTCTAGATTTTTTTCAATAAATACTGGAGAAGAGAAAATTTTAGCTAAAACCCCAAGTACAATGCAACTTAAAAAAAAATGATTACCTTCATTTATTTCTGTGGTGTGAGCTTCAAGCTATTAGGTGGACAAGAAAGTCATGATAAATTTTTCTATGCAAAAATGTGCCATGCCTTTCCTGACAAGCCAATGTATTAAGTGTAAAAACCAAAGGATAAATGTGTTTTGCATACTACTGTTTCTCTGTGAACAGTTATGTATGGGGCCTAGCAATTAAAGGAGTTGGATCCCATATAGTCAACCATATGGTTTAAGTTCTGGAGGAGATAGCATGGAAACACACTAGTCATGTGTGTGTATGCAAGCCCAAAATCCCAACAGGGAAGAAATGAAAGAGAGGAGTGTGGCCTAACCACACCCCACTAGAGTGTGCTCTCTACCTCCCCCTCATTCTGTGTCTTGGTCTCTGTCTCTCTCTGGTGAGTGCAAGCAGCCTCTGGCAATTAAAAAAATAAGGGAGATGTGGAATATGGTATGCAGATATACTATAAACATATATAAACATAAATATTGAAATATATATTTACATGCAGTAGCCTACATTCATAAAATGAAAGTATAAATTAAAAATTAATTTAAAAATGGTTATCTATAAAGGCATAAAACAAAATACAAGGTATAGTATTGGAAGCCAGATTTTGAATATACCTTGCTTAGATCTGACTTTGGAATCATGCACACAAATTATTAAACAAGATTAAATAAATGTTGACATTTTAAAAAATGCCTAAAACAAACAAAAATAAGTTTCAGTTTTATCCTGTGGGCACAGGATATTTAAAGTGACTTTAAAATAGATTTATATAGGGGCTGGCAGGTGGCATGGTGGTTAAGGGTACTGGACTCTCACATGGCTGAACACAGTTCGAGTCCCCGACCTGGCGGCTTTCTTGCTTTCTTTCCCTCTCTCTCTCATTCTGTCTCTGTCTCTCTCTCTCTGGTCAAATTAAAATAAATAAATAAAGTTAAATAATTCTTTAAAAAAAAAAACAAAAAAAATAGGTTTATATAACTATATCCTACTGAAATATGCTCAAAAGTCAAATTTGGATGCACAGATATCTTCAACCTGTTTCCAGTAATCATACTGTTAATAATAATACTGGCATTGCTATTTTGAAGAAAACGAAACATATATAAGAAAAAGCAGAATATACAAAATGGCCAGACAATAGAAGTCACCCACGAGCCCTTTAGCAATGAGCCTCAGAAGCCAAACCATAAAGTCTGCAGGAAAGAATCAAGAAAACTGTATCATAACCTCTGCATAATTAGTGAAGAATGGTCAAGGCTTAGTCAATGACTGCTAGCTTTCTTGTTTTTGCTCCCACTTCTAACTCAGAACCAATCAGAAAAAGCAAAATATGCTTTTCAAACCAATTACATAAGATGTTCCTTCTTTCCCATAACAGAAACCAATGATCATGCCTGAAGCTTTTCCCTTTTTTCACAGTAAACCTTTCCAACTCCTTTTCCCATCTTTGAGTCTATGCCAAAGGCAAGGGATAACAGCTAGCTCTCTTGCTATAGCAAGTTCTGAATGAATAGCCTGTTTTTTTCTCATTTGCATTAATGAGAAAATTTCAGTTAATGTCATTAGAAGAAGAAAAGAGATACAAATAAAATCCAATAAGTAAAAATCTGACAGTTCTAAATGTAATTTAAAAGTGTAAGTATAAACCTATGGTATATTTCTTATTAAAACATATTTTTGGTACCCTCAGATGATATAATGGCTGTTACATCACTGGACTTCCATGCAGTTAACTGAGGTTCAAGTCCCAGATTTGGTGGCTTAAAACTCATGCTGGGCACATGTGTGTGCATGCCCAAAATCCTGAGAAGAGAATGGAGGAGAAGGGATTGCAGCATGGCCACCCCTCTGGTGGGGGAAGTGATTACTTGCTTTTAGACTCTGTCTCTCTGGTGAACACATATGACCTATAGCAAAAAAAAAACTATACACACACACACACACACACACACACACATATATATATATATACACATATATATGTGAATTTTTAACCTTAGCACATTTTTTCTAGCAGAAGAAAAAATGTTGAGTTGACTTCAAATGTTCCAGGTTTGTCCCTACATCTCACACACTACATTTACATGAATTTATATTTTCAGCTGTACTGCCAAGGTATATACACATACCCTCAAGATAAATCAATACATATTTTCAAATGTGATATTCTTATCTCCTCACAGCAAATATCCTGGCCCATGCCAAAGTTACTTCTTTTCTGGATTATAGCAATAGTCTCCTAATTGATCTTGCTGCTTCTACTCCTACCCTCCTACAGGAAAATTACAATATAAAGTAAACTTGGCCATGTTATTCCATGTTATAAGTCTTCTAATGTCTTCCATATCATTAGGTGTAAAAGCCAAAGTCTTACAACAACCAATGACTTATAAATCCTATTTTTCTCCCTTCATCACTCTCCAGCAGTCACACTGGCTTCTTGCTGATCCTTAAACACTACAGGTAAGCTGTTAAATCGAGGGTTTTGGATCTGCTATTCCTTTACCTGAAATATTCTCTCCTAGATATACAATTTCTGTCACCACAACATCACCTTTTTTGGTCTTCCATACCCATTCTACCTAAAATGATAAACTTCTCCTTAATACTCCCATTTCACTTTTCCTGCATTATTTTCCACTTACCACTATCTATCAGATTTATTAACTGCATAAGCCAATAGAATGTAAGCTAGTGAGATTTTTTTGTTTCAAGAAATCATTGAAACAAGTAAAGAGAAATGCTAAATTTTGGTTTAGTTCCTATCATGCAATCCATTTACAGTATCACAAATTTCCACACTTTATTTTTATGTATTTATTTAGTTTATATTTCCCACCTCCACCAGTATATCAAATATTTGGGAAGACATCTTGTCAGTGTTGTTCATAGTTTTCATTCATGAGCTAGAACAGTGCTGGACAAATCACATGTTTTAAAGAAATATTTGATGCATAAACATGTAAAAAGATGAATGTGACTGAGTTGAATATGATGCTTAAAAATCTTACTTTCGTGAGGTTAAGTCAAGTGTATTCACTATTTGATTTCTGAATTTTTTAAATGAAGTTAGTATTTAACCATTATTTTGGTAGCTTAAGCATGCTTCTAGAACTAGCTGTCAATGAGCTCAAGTAAAACCTGTTTATGTTAATCAAATGTTAGCAGATGTGGCAAATGACACATTTGAGAAGGTTCAACTATGATAGCTTGACTCAGTCACAAGAACAGTACTTCTGATTCAAGGACAATTCAATGTAGTTATTAAGCAGAGTCAGCCTATAGCTAACCTGCAGCCTACAGGTCATGTGAATAGGAAATAAATCCATGTAACTGTAAATCACTGAAATCCAGAGGTTTTTTGGGGACAAAATAGCCCAGTGAAAGATTAATACATCTTTCATGACTATGCTATGGAAAGAATGAAATTAACCTGAATAAGAATAGCAGCCTTCTCCCTCTGTCCTTGGATATGCACAATATCTTCTCGTTTTCCTTTCTTTAACATAGTCCAATCCTCAACGCAGGAATTTAGCAGGGGTCTTGCTGCAGCAGTATGTAGACTTGTAAAGAAGGGAATCTGTCTGCGCACAATGTAACCACGCCAGTGAGCCTGGATCACCACAGCTGCCATACTATTAAGAGAGGGAAAGAAAGCATTTCTAGTACTCACAATTGTCAAGTTGTAGATGAGAGGTCCTCGTAACTTACTTGTAGTTACATTTTAAACATGAACCACATAAAGCATTTTTAAAAACAAGACCAGTCTTTTCATTATAGTCACAGAGGAAAGAAAATAATATGTATACCTTAAAATCTGAGAGAAATGGGACAATGTGTTTGAGCAGGATGTGCTTACAAGGGAGTTTTATTTGTGTACTTAAAGGAGTGGGATGTGTCAGAGATTTTTGTGGATACTGGTTTGTGAAATGGGGGAAAATGCGACGATGTAAAAGACAAAAGTAGTAGTTAATGTTGATTTGGCAAGACAGCGTGAGACAGTTCATGGTGGAGAAATTCTCTTTGGGGAATAAGAATGGAAGCTTCCAGGAAAACCACTCTCTTGCCTCTGTGGTATTGCAAGATTGATCAGAAAGCTGTGGACTCACAAATTTTACCAAAAATCAAAGCTGTTCCTCAGCTCCAGGGCTACCTGCGATCCATGTTTGCCCTTACAAATGGAGTTTATCCTCACAAATTGGTGTTTAAATCTTTTGCCAAGAACCTAATTAAATAACTGATCATATCTATCTATCTATCTATCTATCTATCTATCTATCTATCTATCTATCTATCTATCTATAGTATATATAAAAAAGAATGGAAGCTTCCTTGTAAGAGGGAAGGATACTATCAGGTCCTTCCTGGCTTTACTTTTCTCCCTTCCCATGGACAAATACTGTAACTCTACTCTTATAACCCCAGTGGCAAATTCTAACATTTTCCCAGACCACATGTATTTGCCAATTTCAGGCACTGAATCAATCAGTGCTATGTGTTTTTCATATTCCCCTTAGCTTCCTGGAAACATCGGGAAATTTTGAATACAAATGAACATTGATTATAAGTGGGTTCTGAGTGTGTTTTATCATTTAATTCTTCCATACTAAAAATATTTTCCTCCTCAAAGAGATTATTGTCTTTCAGTACAGATACTTCCTTTCCCTATGCAGACATTACAATTATATTAGAATATTATCAAGGAAAGGAGTCAAAGTGCTAACTATTCTGCAGTCTCTCTTAGATTCCTGGTGTTGGCTTACAAGGTGTATGGAGATGAAAGGATTCTTAGCCTAAACAGTTTTCAGTAATATTATATTTGTCAAAGCCAATGAAATTTTCTCCTTTTCATACTATTTATTAGGTTTAAGGCAAAAGAGAAATTAAGTGATATAATGTACCAGACATGACTAGACCTTTTTTTCTCATAACAAAATGAGAGGGTCTTCAAAATATTAATAAAAAATGTTTATTATAAAAAAAACTATGGATTTTTTAAAGAGTTTTTTGTATGAAAATAATATTTTAATTCCATTTTTTCATGTACATTTTGAAGTCCCCTCATGTATTTGTGGGAAATTAGAAAGGAATGATACAACCACTTCCTATTTAGTATTGTCATTACTATCATTATCATATATTCTTGGAAGAAAAACGATTTTGGAATCTTACATTTTTTTACTATATTCAATATTTTGGTGATTGTACAGCCCAGAATTTGTCATTACGGTTTCTGTGAGTGGGATTCTTTTGATAGGAATACAGCTTGCATTGTTGTCTTCTCTCTTCTGACCTATTAATTTTTCCCGATTTCTTCTTTCCACGCTTTCACAAATGGAGGAGTTGCTTAATAGGGAGTGACTACAGCCAAAGTTCATCCCTTTCTCAGCAACATATGGTGAATCCAGCTTGCACTCATTTGCATAAGAACTGACAACATTACTTTGCAGTACCCCGTCACCGTCATTGTTTGTATGGGTCAGATGACTTTGCTGGACTTCTGATGGACCATTCTTGGTGATTTGTATGTCCCCACGTTCATGTGCACATCGGTATTCATGACTAAGTGTCATCAATGCCTTCAAATAATGACAGAGGCTTTCTGCTGTATCCAAGGTGAATTCATCTCTGGACAAATAAATTATGAGGACATTTGATAAGAAGAATTATATCAGCAATTATTAAAACTTGTATCGGTTTAGAAAATCTTGCTATAGGGCCTAAAATGAATATTAAGGTTGATTACAGCATTCAATATAAATAATTTCTAGTTGTTTATATAAAGATTGATCTCATTTTAACAAAATTTGAAAACATTTGTTTAGTTAATTTAGATCAGTCTGCCCAGACAAAATGTCTGGCAGTTTTAGGATCATTTTGACTATTGGTATTTTTGGGAACAAATGAATGAGAAAAATCCATGTTTTTACCACCATAAACACAAGAAATCATGGCTGCCTAAATTTGGAGAAGTTATTTATGAAATAAAGTCAAAAGTGCTTTCTACATTGACTCTTGCCACACAAAATATTTGTATTGGACGTTTAAACAAAGAACTTGTATTATGGGAATGTTTTTATTTCCATTTTTCTCTGAAAAAATAATACATTGCAAGGAGAATTCAAATACTTACAGACATAAATGGCTGAGATTATTTGAACAATTGAATTTCTATCTTTTTATGACTTGTGTACTTACTCAAACTTTCAGATTGAAGCTCCCAATAACAAATGTAAAGAATTCTGCACTCACACATGCCTTATTCTTATGTATAATTTATCTATCTTCCTTTATTTCCACTCTATTATTTTAAAAATTTTACTTATTTCAAATGTATATTTTATGGCTATATTTAATAGTCAGGTGTGATCTTAATTTTTTCTGAGATAATTATGCAAAAAATTTTTGAGAGGTTTTTGCTATTGAGCATGTGCACTAACCAGAGAGACAGAGAAAGACAGAGAAACAGAAAGTGAGAAATCACTTCCCAAGGGGATGGCCACGTCACAATCCCTTCTTCGTTTTCCTTACGGAATTTTGGGCATGCACACATATGCACCCAGCATGAGTTTTAAGCAGCTGGGACCAAAATTCAAACCATGGTTGACTATGTGGGAGTCCAGCAACAGAATCATTATGCCACCTGCTGGTTCCCAGCAAAACTTTTTAACAAAAAAATTAAATATTTAATTATAACAAATGAAATGAAAGTTATATTTATTTCCTAAAATGTAGAGAAAAATAGCTACTTCATATGTTCACAGAGGTAATTATTAGACAACAATATGGGTGCCTTCAACATACTTTTGATATTTTGTGTTTCACTAATTCTGTTGGTTATTATGTAGATAAGCACCAATTCAAATATTGGAATATCAAATGTTTATAGTTAGGTGTTGCTTCATGCATTAAACATATAAATTACAATCTACCTTCTATTTTCACTGCTAAAATGAAAAAAGTTGCATGATTACAAGGATTACATTTTAAATTTCATGTCAAAATTTATATTTTGATGAGGAATGCCAAGGATCACCTTTAAATACAAAATTGCACTTCACCCTATGTATACAGGAAATATTAGTTTAGATTTGCATGAAGATAAATGTAAATAACTCTCTTGTTTGTTAAAAGTAAACATTGTATGTAACAATTATTTTATATGTGAGATTTGTTTTCAGACTGAATAGACTACTAAAATATATAAACAGAAAACCAAATTACAGGGATTAGCAGTTAACATAATGGCTATGTCGCTGGACTCCCATGTAGCCGAGCGCAGTTTGAGTCCCGGACCCGGTGGCTTAAAACTCACGCAGGGCGCATGTGTGTAAATGCCCAGGATCCTGAGAGGAGAATGGAAGAGATGGGATTGCCACGTGGTCATCCCCCCCGGGGGTGATTTCTCGCTTTCTGTCTCTGTAGCACATGCGCCCTATAGCAAAAATCTCTCACCCCCCCCAAAAAAAACAACTTACATAAAATGAGCATGTATGAAAATACAAATAGCAATAACTTAAGCATATAATTTACTAATTAGGATTGTTTTAATTTATTTTCCTTCATGTAAAAGAAAGAAGTAAAAGTGGGGGGCACCTCCCACAGGGTCTTTATGTTCTTATCCCTGGAGTCCACGCAATCACGTGTGCACCTGCAGGCATACCTGGCATGTTGAGGTGGACTGAGCATATGAACCCAGAGCCTTCCCACATAGTCTCCACCATCATAAAACAATGCTCCCACTGCCTGTGCAACTATATCTGAACCAGTACTTAAATTTAAAAATTTGGAAGTATAATTATTTTCATAGTGCTAATAGAGTCATAATAAATGAAAAAAACATGAAGTCATTTATTATTTTTTATTTGCATTTTGTGGAGTAATGTAAATTTAGAAGATAAAGTCATAAAAATTTCAATTACAATTCATTCATTATAATTAACTCAGAATTCAATGTGGGCAATAAATTATCTTTCGTATTTGACTATTCTTTCAGCTTTTATCCTCTGAATATTTGCAAGTATTAAACTGCTTTTACACTCTGTGCTCTTAGAATATCTTATAATATATGAGTATGTATGTACTTTGATACATACCTTAGTACATTATATGTATTACATGTTATAAACATGTCATACTCCATTTTAACTATCTACCTAATTTTATACTAATTTATCTAATTTTTTCTTTCAATTACTTAAGTATAAACAATCTTGCCCTAAGTAATTATTTAATAAATTTATTATTGACTGACTGATAACTGCTGGAATGAATGTTTGCCTTCTATATTGAAGCTATCCTTACACTTTCATTTTTTTCTAATATTTTAGCATTTAAATATTTCATGTCAGATTTAAAAGAATTACTTATATAATTTTATTTATTGTTATTATTTTTTTCTAATTTGCTACACGGCACACACGCTCACCAGAGAGAGAGAAAAAAAGAGAAGGAGGGAAGTTGAGAAAGCAAGTATCCAGGTTCAGGATTCAAACTGTGGTCAGTCATTCAGGACTCTGGCATCTTAACCATCATGCCACCTGCTGGCCCCAAATTTCAACATTTTTAATTATGTTCAAATATATAAATATATTTCACAGTTTTATTTAAAAGGTAGGCTATTTCACAAACATAGTGTTCTAATCTACAAAAGCATGATTGAGTTAATCAGAATATTTTTAATCATATGTATAAATTATATTATTTCAAATACAAGAGAAACAAAAATCTTACCTTTTACCAGAGATATAGTTTTCTATTAGTAAATTAAATTCTTGAATCTGAGATTGACAAAAAAACAGGAAATGTCCTGATTCTTGTTGATAGTATTGTTCAGTGTGGCTTTCTGAATAAGAGTTTAGCATAACACCATTGAGGATTCTTAAAGAAGGTAATTTTTCAAGTAGAGGATGCCTATTAAAAAAAACAAATGAAAGTTAATATTCTTGATAAAGAGAGTTTATATCTAAAATAGCTATATGCCAATCACTTAATGGGAACACAGTGCATATCTCAAAAAAAAGATTGATGTTGCAGAAAAAGAATGATAGTTAAACTTGTTTTAAAAATATATAGTATCATATCACGTATAAAAGAGTTCTTGATATATATATTTAAACATTGCTTTTTAAAACAGAAATGGGAGATTCAAACATTAAAGCTTTGGCTAGAATTTAGTGCAAAATTGATCTATTATAAAAATAACCTTAAACAAATTATTTTAAACAGAAGACAATTAGATAATCTTTTTGAAAGCTGCAGTTTATATCCAAAGTACAATAAATTCTGGTATTTCCCTTAGTAAAATACAGTGAGAATATTGCTAAAACAAAGTGTTCAGTCATATTAAAATAATTTATTTAGTTAATCTAATGAAATTCTAGACATGAAGTCAACAATGCTTTTGAGATGTGAGAATTGAATTATTTTTCTTTTTTTATTTTTGGAGAGTTTTTTTGCTATATGGCACGTGCACTCTCCAGAAAGACAGAGAGAGAAAGAGAGACAGAAGGCGAGAAATCATCCCCCAGGGAGGATGGCCATGCCACAATCCCTTCTCCATTCTCCTCTCGGGATCTTGGGCTGGCACGCACCCGCGCCTGGTGTGAGTTTAAGCCACCAGGTCTGGGACTCGAACCGCAGTCAACTACATGGGAGTCCAGCGACATAGCCATTACACTAACTGCTGGTCCCGAGAATTGAAATTTAAGAATGAAGCAGCAGTCTTTATCAAGCACAAAAGAGAAGATACTCTGATTCCACGAAGGGTCCAGTTTTCTAAGATTCAGTTTTTTAAATTGTAAAACAGCAAACACAAGACTTTAAAAACTTTATGAAAATAGTCTTTGAGATTAACCCAAAGTTTTTCTTTATTATTTGGTACAAAACAAATTTCTGTCTCATATCTTGTCTTCCAGAGTTCTCTAGTCTTTGAAATACATATGTTTTATAAGAAAAATTAATAAATAGCAGCATATGCTATCAGAATTGCTAAATAAAAAAAGATATTATGGACCTGATGCAGTTATATTACAATGATTTGCTCACAGATTGTTGTCATTGGTTTTACATAAATGACATACAAAGCATGGTATTTCCAAAACAGTGGGAAACTGAATTTAGAGAGTACTTAGAAAATATTGGATTATCAGAAAAGTCTGACATATTTTTCTACGCAAAAATGCATCATGAGTTTTCTGATGACCCAATATATAGAGACATTAACATTCTATCCAGAAATCACTAAAGATAAAATACACACACAAACACACACAACTATATATATTATTGTTTGTTTGTTTTGCTTACATTTTTGTCATAGGGCACATGCACTTGCCAGAGAGAGAGAGAGAGAGATAGAGAGAGGGAAAGTGACAAATCACCTTCCAGGGGAGACCGTCATACTGAAATCTCTTCTCTACCATTCCTCCTCTTGGGATTTTTGGACATACACACGCACATGTCTGGTATGTTTTTCAAGCTACCGGGTCTGAGAATCAAACTGAAAGGCTGGCTATGTGGGATCCAGTGCCTTGACCACCATGCCATCTGCTGGTCCAATGAAGAACCATTTTAACCCAATAATCTAATATAATCCTGGAGGCAAAACATAAGGATTTGTTTGAACAGATTAATAGAAAGATAATATATTTTATCATAAGCCTATTTTATTTAATAAAACAAGTGTTTATGCTTTATGCATCCAAATTAATGAACATTCTCACATCTAAAAAGCATTGTTGACTTCATGTCTAGAATTTCATAATTATAACTAAGTAAATTATTTTGTTATGACTGAGCACTTTGATGAAGATTTAGAATACAATGTAGCTTCATTAGTAATATAATGATTAGTTGTAAATACGGATTGATGATCTCACTGTAGCCTTTGACTATTACCACCTTTAATAAATTCAAATATAATATGAACATAAAGCTTGTTTCTTGCTGCAATTGGCACAACATGGTAGCTGTTCACATCATAAACAAGGGACAAAATGAGGACTTTATCATCAAACAGTATAATTTGGACATAATTATTGATAAAGATATTATTATAATTTATAATTTTTACATGATGATATAATTATATAATTTTTACAATGTTAAGTATAATATTTGTTAAAGACTGTGGGTCAACAGGGCTTAAACTAATTTTTTTTAAGTTAGAGTCTCACAATGTTGTGATCCACCTGCCTTAGCCTCTTTTTCTTTAACTATTTATTCATTCTATTATTTTTACATTCAATCACTATACATCATTTAGATTGTAAAGAGAATTTACCCAATATGAAATACATCTCAGATCAGACCAGCTGAGAATACTATCTATATACATCATTATCGACAGGGAATAAACCAAGGCTTCCACACTTGGTTGTTATACTCAGGGCTTCACTATGCTACCCAGGATAACCTGAGCTCATTGTCTTCCTGTCTCAGCTTCCTGAGGATTACAGGTGCATGCCACCAAGTCTGATCTTTAGGTTGAACCAGAAATTGAACCTGGACCTCCCATCTGATTTCCACCTGAGGAGACAGTGTATTACCAACATGCACTACTATGGATGGACCAAAAAAGGCTTGAAACAGTTTTATGATACATTCATCAGCTTTCTACAAAAAATTCCCTAAAGATTTTAATCAGAATCTTTTGAAATTCCTTAGGATATAAAAATTTAGTTTCCTTGAATCTTTGATGTAACGATATCTTGAAATTTGTGATTTATGTAATCAATATCGAGATTAGTGTTTTATTTTAAACATTTCTTCTTATTCCTTTTTTTAAGGATCAAGTTAGGGGAAACCAGCAGAGAGTGCAATGGTTATGTCTCTGGACTTCCACATAATGGACTACAGTTTGAGTCCTGGACTCTGCAGCTTAAAACTCATTCTGGGCACACATGCTTATGTAACCAAAATCCTGAGAGGAGACTGGAAGAGAAGGAATTGTGGCATGGCCATCCCTCCTAGGGGGAAATTTCTCCCTTTCTGTCTCTGTCTTGCCAGTAAGTACAACACACTATAGCAAAAATCTCTCTCTCAAAAAAAAAAAAGGTTAAAAAGGAACAGTTCAGGCCTGCAAAATAAAGCACTGACTGGATTGGTCTGAAGTTAAAAATGCAGACTTTGAAGAGTTTATGATGAATATATTGGAAAGTGCTGCAACAAGTTGATTAACGTTGGACATGAAGTGTAGGAATGCTGTGATATCTCAACATTAGTTTTTCCAGCTGGGCTCTTCCTAGTCAAAGGCTGAACCAATATTTCATTTACTGAGAATGTTCTGATGAATATTCTGTCACTTAAAGAACCTCTATCAATCATTAATGAATAAAACAAATTCCCGAAGGGGATTTCAAACTGAACCTGTGGATTAAGTTTTAAATAGAAATTTCTTAGTACATCAGTTTGTCCATGTTATCACTGGCTAGACATAAAAGTAAGAAACCAATTGGGAAAATCTATAACTAATCCCTTTATTGGTATCAAAAGGTTATGTAAAGTTCATTGAAGTACACTGCCTAAAGTATGAATTGATCCTTTCATCAACAAATTCATTTCTGTAGAGTTTTAGATTATAAGCCCTTTAGATGAATTAATCTCTTTTTAAAATACTTAAGACTACATTAAGTCAACTGAACAAAGTAACATTCAACACATAAGATGATCAAGTTGCAATTATTCTAGTCCAAATACCTCATTCAAACACAGAAGTAATAATTGCCATGTAACTATACATATAAATTATATTTATATAATTATTTATTTTTTCATTTTATTTATTTATTTTTTTCATATTATTTCTTGTTCAATATTCTCTTTAACACTCAAAAATATATACTTAGTAATAGCAGTAAAATGTGAATATTTATGTTCATATATTTATAATATATTCCTGTCAATATATTTTGTTAGAGGCATATTTCATTCAATAATATAAGTGTTTATGGGGCCAGTGGTGGTACGGTGGTTAAGGTGGCTGGAATACACATTGCCAACTGTATGGTTTGAGTCATGGACTCTGTGGCTTGAGAAACATACTGGGTGCATATGTGTGATGCCCACAGTCTTGAAAAAGAGAAAGAAATGGAGGAGAAGGAATTATGGCATGATCATCCTCCTTGGGGGTGGAGGGTGCTTTCTCACTTTCTGTCTCTCTCGGCAAGTGCACGAATCTAGCAAATGTCTTAAAAACTTGTGTTTATGCTCCATACAAGCAAAATATTAAAATATAAATAAATACAAAAATTATTTGCTTTTTTTCTGCTTATTACAACAGACAATGCAGCAGCTACTGAACGTAAAAAGAGACAAGAGAGTAGGCTAGAATCATCAACATTAGAAAATTCCACAGTGGGCATATACAAATTTATTTAGTATTCTGGGAAATAGTTTACTTAAACTTGAGCAAATAAGTTACTATCTGAGAATGAGTGAGAGTAACCCTCCTAAGGCAGAAGAAAACAAAAATAGAAAGAAAAAGGCAGAACACTTACAGGGACTCACAACATAGGGTATTAGTTCACACCAGCCAAAGTAAAAGGCTATACATAAGAGGAATCTGGTAAAATGCTAAGGAAGTTGGCATTATAATAGCAGATTTAAATTAGCATTAGTCGGGACCAGCAGTTGGCATAATGGCTATGTCCCTGGACTCCCATGTAGTCAACCGCAGTTCAAGTCCCAAGCCTGGTGGCTTAAACTCACGCCAGGCGCATGTGCGTGCATGCCCAAGATCCCAAGAGGAGAATGGAGAAGAGATTGTGGTGTGGCAATCCCCCGGGGGGGGGGTGATTTCTCGCTTTCTGTCTCTCTGTCTCTCTCTGTCTTTCTGGCAAGTGCACATGCCCTATAGGAAAAACCTCTCAAAAAAAAATTAGCATTGGTCTAAAGATTTCTTTGGAATTGTTGTAATAGAACTTGAAAACAAGATTTGAAAGTATCTCACTGGTTGCAAATAACTTAGCACTTGTACTTCAGACATAAAAGAGATGTTACTTAAAGAAATACAACAAAAGAATTGACAATATAAAATTTGAAATGACTGAGATATGACCAAATTGACTAGACATACAAAGAAGTAGAAAATATGATACAAAGTAAGGGGAAAAAAAATAGACTCAAAAATGAAAGATTATGGAATAACAGATAAGGACATTAAAACAAATATTATACATATTTTAAATATATTCAAGAATGTTCCAGAAAACATGAGCATGATTAGGAGATGAACCGTATCCAGTAAAAAAAGAAACAAGGGCCACCGCATAACCCAGTGGTTCAGTGGTTTTGTGAGCTGGATGCCACATGCTGACCACACTGTTTGAGTTCTGGTGCTGGTGTTTTGAAAAATATTCCAGGTGAGTGTAGGTGCATGCCCCAATCCCAATGAGAATGAAAAACGGAGAAGTGATTGCGGTGTGACCATGTCCTGTTGATGAGTGCTTATTCTCTCCTCCCTCTCTTTCTGTATCTTTCAGGCCAGCACACATGGACTTTGGGAATTTAAATACACATATAAAATCTTTCAAGATAAAAAAACACATGAATTATAGAATGAAAAAATAGTCAGAATGGGATTAACAGAAGAATAGATACTTAAAAAATATGAGAAGACCTGAAAACATAGCAATAGAAACTATTCAAAGTAATGCACATGAAGGAAACAAAAAGAACAATAAATATAGGAATAAAGCAACCACAACTTCTGCAATAATATCAAGTGGCCTACTATAGTTAAAAATGGGGTCCAGTATGACAGACAGTAGGAAAGAGGCAGAAAAATATCTGAAAGAATAAGGGACAAAAGTTTTCCAAATTATACAAGAACTGTAAATGTACAGATCAAGTGCCTTAATAAATCTCAAACAGAGAAAAAAATCAGACTAGAGCACATCAAAATCAAATCACTGAAAATCTGTTATAAAGATTAAATCCTGAAATCATGCAGAAACGAAAGAACAAAGACTGTAAATGTGCAGATCAAGTGCCTTAATAAATCTTAAACAGAGAAAAACTAAATAAAATCAGACTAGAGCACATCAAAATCAAATCACTGAAAATCTGTTATAAAGATTAAATCCTGAAATCATGCAGAAACGAAAGAACAAAGACAATGTCAGTAGACTTCTTATCAGGAAAGACTTAGAGTGGAGAGGCATTTTGAAAATATTGAAATACTAGAGAGGGAACTGACTGGAAGGGGCACGAGGTAATTTTTAAGGTGAAAAATATTTAGTATCTTAATCATTACACAACATTCATACTCAAAAGCAAAAAATGATGGAATCTACAATATTATCACAAAATAATGATAAAAAAGATACTAGTCAATTTAAGGGACATTGCATTAATCTATTATGAGAGTTTTGAATTGAATAACCTTTGTCCTAGTAAAAAAAATTATTAAAAACTTTTGGTATACGGGCCAGCAGGAGGTGTGGTGGTTAAGGTGCTGGACTCTCACATGGCCAGCCCTTTGGTTTGAATCCCAGACCAAGCAGCTTGAAAATCACACTGGGCACATGTACACATGCATGCCCAGAATCCCAAGAGAATATAGGAGAAATGACTGCAGTGTGGCCATCCTGCCTGGGGGTGATTTCTTACTATCCCTTTCACTGTCTTGATGTCTCTCTCTAGCGAGCATACATACCCTATAGCAAAAAAAGAAAAAAAATTACAGAATATTTTTCTTGGTTTATACATAGATATTAAAGTATTCCAAAGAGAGGCAAGAATTCACACATTTATAATACATACTTTTTTTAAAAAAAAAAACAAGATGTAAAAATGTCTTTATTTGCATAGAACATAATCATGTATGTAGAAAATCCTAAACTATAGCAGAATTATTAAATGAGATAAAAGGATTGCAGAATCCCAGGTCAATATACAGAGTCAATTTTATTTCTATATATTAGCAATGAAAAATTAAAAAATAAAATTGAAATAACAAGTCCATTAACAGTGCCTTAAAATAATAAATATAGTGAAAAATTTGCAAGATCTGTATACTGATAACAAAACATACTTTTAATAGACACCAACTTTCTGTTTTCTTGTTTTTGTTTTTGCTTTTCAGGTTTTCACTGGAAAGAGGCAGAAACTAAGAGAGAGAAAGTGAGAAATCACCCCTGCAGTGGTGATGGCCACTAGAGAGAGACAGTGAGAAGGAAGTGAGAAATCACTCCTAAAGAGGATGGCCATACTGCAATCCCTTCTCCTCCCATCTCCTCTCAAGATTTTCGTCACACGCACACACGCCCAGAGTGATTTGGAAGATGCCAGGTCCAGGATTCAAACCACAGAGTTGGCCATGTGGGAATCCAGTGAATTAACCACCATGCCACCTGCTGGTCTCCTAACTTTCTCTTTTAAGAAAATAAAACAAAGCTAAATTTCTGTTGGAAAGAAAGTAATTAAAATGCAAGCTATGTGATTTAGATGAATTACAAAAAGTAATTTCTATAAATGCAATATCTAAATTAACATCATACCACATGTATTATATAATTAATGATTTGAAGAACAATTATAGTTTAAAATTTGCATTAGTTCACACATGTGCAGAAAAATTATTTTAAGTTCAATACATTTTAAAAATTATTTTTATAAACCATTTTGAATAATATTTAAATTATTTTTATTAACTTTTCCTAAGTAAATTGTAGCCCTAGAACAATCTTTAGCAAATTGTGCTGTTTGCAAATATAATAAAGGGTGTTCCTAGGGTGAACCAATGCTTCTTTACCTCCAGTTTACTTCTTGAAGCAGTGGGTTTCCAATGAGAGACAATTCCTGGAGAGAATGGCATTCATCAAACCACTTAATGGCACCTGTAAGATCTACAGAAAACAAACAAAATCATTGTGCAGGTATCACAGGAAAAGAAAAAAATAAAATCAATGACCATATTATTTGTTGGTTAGAAAAGCAAAACTTTTATTCCTTCTGCAGAATACTATATAGTTTAAAAATCATACTGTTACTGGGACCAGCAGGAGGCACAGTGGTTTAGGAGCTGGACATCCAGATGGCCGACTTTGGTTCGAGTCCTGGGCCAGCAGCCTGAAATTCATCTCGGGCACATGTGTGTACATACCCGAGATCCCGAGAGGAGAGTGCAGAAGGGGTTGTAGCATGGCCAACCCCTCTGGGAGATAATACCTCACTTTCTCTCTCTTTGTCTCTCTGGTGAGTATGTAGAAAAAACCTCTTAAAAAAAAAAAAAAAAAAAAAAACTGGGATGAGCAAATGGCATAATGGTTACATCTCTGGACTCCCATGTAGTCAACCACAGTTTGAGCCCCAGTCTCAGTGGCTTAAAACTCATATCAGGTACATGTGTGTTTGTGCCCATAATCCAGAGAGGAGAATGGAAGAGAAGGGACTGCTGTGTGGATATCCTACCCCTGTCCCCAGAGTGTGATTTCTTGCTTTCTCTGTCTCTGTCTCTCTGGTGAACACGCATGCCCTATGGCAGAAATCTCTCAACAAAAAAAGATAAGTTACCAAAAAGTACTTGTTTTACTTGGTTTAATCTTTATTTATCAGGGAAAGGCAAACTTAAACCTCAATAAAACAACCAAATGAAAATTAAACACTCTCTAGAATGGAGCAACTGGAATTCATACATTCTTGGTAGAAGAATTAAATGTTACAGTTACTTTGGATAATAGTTTGTCCATTGCTTTTTAAGTTAAATGTGTATATTAATTATATTTTTATATATTTACCCAAGAGAACTTAAAACATAAGTGTGCAGAAAGACTAGTACAAGAATGTCCACAGGAAATTTATATTTATGGTTGCTTCAAATCACAATCAAACATTAATCAACAGGGGAATGGAGGAGAAGGATTTGCAGCATGACCATCCCCCCTGGGGTGGGAGGTGATTTCTCACTTTCCCTCTCTCTGATTCTGCCTCAGGGAGGTACACACATCCCATACCAAAAATAATAAAATAAAATAAAATAATTAAATGAAAATAATTGTGATATTTGTCTACTACTTCTAAAATAATATGAAAGTGGGCCAACCAGTGGCATGACAATCAGGGCAATTAGATCCCACATGGTTAATTACGCAGTCCAAGTCCCAGACCCAGTGGCTTGAAAAACATACCAGATATATGTACATGCCCAAAATCCCAATAAGAGAGAGATGGAGGAGAAGGAATTGTGGCATGATCATCTCCATGGTCATCTCACTTTATCTCTCTTTCTCTTCCTCTGTCTCTCTTCAGCAAGTGTATGCACCCTCTGGTTAAAAAAAATTAAAGTAATATAACTTTTAAAATGAAAAAAACATTTTAATTGAATTATTTTGGGATGCTATATTATTTAGGTTTGTTATTTATATATAAATAACATCAATGCATGTATTCACAACAACTCCATAACATATGTTGGAACAGAAATTCAATAGTGTATTATTTTTAAAAATTATATATTATTCTAAACTTACCAGAAAGACAATTGTTGCTGACATCTAGTTTTTCCAAGGAAACAAAGTGGAAAAGTGGCACCATTTTTGTCAAACTGAGAGTAAAAACACAATATTCATAAGATGTTTATTTCAGAATTCCCTCCATATTACTGATCCAAATATATAATAAAACTTACAAAATACAATGATATAGTTATATGCAATTGTATGCAATTACATATATAATTGTATCATATAATAAGATCATAACATTAACTCTAAGTACTTATTAAAAATCCAGTAATTATAGGATTTTTAAACATTTATCAGCTAAGGAAAGATTTTATACTTTTACAAAGGAAATTATAATGGAATCTCCAATTCCTCTCCCAAATATCATGGACTTTGATACATATTTGCTATTTAAATATGAATGTGTGTGCGTGTGGTGTGTGTGTGTCGGGGGGGTGAGTGTGTTGGGGAAGTTGTTCTTATTATTTTGTTTTGCCTTAGTATAAATCCAAATTTACAGTGAACTTGTATTATTGATCTTTTCTTCTCCCAGGAGCCAACATTATAATCTATACTTTTATGGTACAAAGATAAAGATAATTTATTTTCTGTATTAAGCAGAAAAATGAATCAGCATCACTAGTTTTTTTTTATTCTAAAGTGCTTTGTTTACTAGATTAAACATATCATAAACATTGTAAGTACATAAAATACATTGACTTAATTCTAAACTGGTAATATGCTCAGAGTATAAATAAAATGTCAAAGAATAATAATATAAAACATTTTATATCAATAGAATAAATATAAACTTAGCAAAAATAAATTGATATTTAAAATTAGTACTTTTAATATTAATATCAATAGAATAAATTTAAACTTAGCAGAAATAGACTGATATTTAAAATTAGTACTTTTAATATTAATTATGTATATAACAATTATAATAATAAACTCTACTCCTATTTTAAAATTTTTAAATAATTTTCTAAGTTACCATTGTCATTATAAAACTGAACTCATGTAAAAAAATAAGTGATATTCCAAATATATACATCATTGGAAACCCTAGACTCATGTAAAAAAAATATGTGATATTCCAAATATATACATCATTGGAAACAAAAGCTATAAAGACAAATTAACCTCAGTTTGATTTGCATTTAAAACCAAGACAAGCCTACTTGTACTCTAACATAATATCACATTACAGTAGCTAGTGAGAAATTAGTCAGCTCTTTTGAATCTTTACAACACAAAAATCTCTTTGCATAAAATACATTATCAACAGAATTATAAAAGTCTTCTAAATTAATTTCCCCTGTAAATGTTGGAATTCCATAACTATTTAAAATATGCTTTGCCTAAAAGAATATTTTTAGTACCAAAAAATAAAAAAATGTGCATTAGTTCCTACTTCTTTTTCTTTCTTTTTTTTAAATACTGTCCCTCCAGTGAGGGAGGGTTCTTTATCTATTTATTATCTTTCTATGAAATCTATGTCATTATAAAACAAAAATAAATGTAAAAAACCATTATTGTAGGGTCAAAAGCTCACAGGATAACTCTGAGACTAGGAGTCCATGGGATCTGGCATAAAACTAACCTTTGCATTGACCCTGACTCCTCTCTTATACTATCCTGTTCTGCGTTAGCAGAGAGAAAAAAGATAACCACTGATAAAAAATGGACTAAAGAATAAGGCTAGAAGATCTCTATTGCTGATCTTAAGGACAGTATTATTATTCATACTAAGCCTATATGGTACCACTTCTTAAAAATAGTTGGAGAAAGTGGGGTGAAATCCAAGGTAATAAAAAATGAGAAAATACTCATCATTACATTTTTGCATATACTTCATTATTTGTACATGCATCCTATAATAGCAAAATTTAGTGAAATATTACATGAATATTGAAGAAGCAAACAACAGAAACAAAACCAGAAAGATGGAAAGAAAAGAAGGAAGGAACTTATCATGTTATTGATACATAATGGATTTAAATATTAGTTTTATGGCATTTTCTATTTGAGTGTGGTCTGAATCATTGCTGCAAGTAATATATAGACTCTTCAAGAAAATACATAATTTTAATATAGCATGAATGTATTTAAGAACAAGAAAAGTCTTGTTTGTGTTTTACCTTTAATGTAGTTCGAATGCTAAATCTTTGCCCTTCTACTTAAATGATTTTAAAGGAGTAATAGCCAAAGGCATATTAAATCTTTCAAGTACAACATTTTATTTTTCAGACTATCTTGTGTTTTTAATCAGTAATGTTCTATGGTGTCATATAGGTTATATGAAGATGTCAAATGAAGATAACCAGTAATATTTTAGAATTAAAATTGATAACAATTCTTTTTACAAAAATTGACCTAAGTAAAGAAATATGTTTGATTAATATTTTTGTGATATTGAAATTTTATCTTCTTATATAACCATGCTTTTAAAATGTTTTTTTTTCTTTATTTCAGTCAAGAATACTGGCTATTCATTCACCTTTATGACTATTCATTAAATGGTAGAAACCTAATAGTAGAATCCTTTTTTCAAACTTCTAGAACATTTCCTTTTACTGACATTCTGTGTATATTTTTTTCCAAGAAAATTCAAACCAGAAAGACAAAGGACATTACTGAAAACCTAATACCATTTGACCTTGTCACATTAGCCCTGGGCATTAAAAAGATATAAATTTCAAAGACGACAAAAAAGTAAAAGATTTGTACAATGAACAGTCAATGGGTGATGGTTTCCACTTTCTGCTCCTACTTAGAGTATCAATGGAAGTAGAAAGGCTTATGAAGCCAGAGAGTCATCCAGTTAGAACTCCGCTGAGTCAAACTTAAAACAGTCACATGTCCTAATGAAAATTTAAAACAGAAGTCAGGATGAAACAAGTATTTCAAACAATATGTACTAAGTATCATTCTTTATATGTATTCCATTTGTTGGGGGGAAAAAAGCATATGGGCATGTAATTTCTTCCTTGTGATGAAAATATTTATCAAAAATTAAAAGAAAAATATATACAATTTAAAAGCCATACCAACCACAAATCCAAATATTACATTTATATAATTCTCCTCAGGTTTGCAAATTGTTCACATTCTCTTTGGATCATCATTAAAATCCCACAAAATAAGTAAGGTAGGTATTATTATCCCTTTTACATGTGGCGGGGGGAGGGGGGGAACCCGAGGCTCAGAGAGTGAGAAGAGATTCACTCAACATCAACAGATGGGGAACCCCAGGCTCAGATAGTGAGAAGAGATTCACTCAACATCAACAGATTGCTAAATTGTAGATTCAAAATTCAAACTCAGAACTGCTGATTCTGAGTTTTATTAAATGTGACATGGTTCTTAAAAAGTCCATATATGTGTAAAAGCAGAATGTAACATGGATAATTTCTACAGTTAACAGTCATAAGCCAGTTGTGGAAAATGCTAAAGGAAGTATTAGACTACATTAGGAAATCACTTTGCTATTCTATTTTCAACTTTCCTCTAAATGCCCTCTCTTCATTTCGGAAATGGTATCAGGTCACATGTGCAAAGAGCTTTAAGAGATTCACAAGACTATATTCAACTATAAGTAAAGTATAACTAAAAATTTAAAACAGCACATGTAATAATTCTACTTTATTTTGTTTAGATAAGTTAAAACAACGTAAGTTCTTTTTATCCTTGAGACTTCTTCAAGGATAAGGACATGTATCACTCATTTTTGTATCCTCCAAACAGCAAGCTCCATCCCAATATACAAATGTTGTAAGTCTAGATATACAAAATAATAAATAGAATCATTTGGGTTAATTATCCCAATTATCATTATTGATTCAAAAAGTTAATGCTCTATTTAATATAATACACCCTTATATTAGGGTTCATATGCACAAGTCATATCAGATTAATAGAGCAAAAGGCTATTAGCTAGAAATTTTAATTTTTACGAATAGAGTATTGCTTTGATGATTTAAATTGTCCAAAGAAGGTAGACATTATTTTTCAAAACAAGTGTTTGCAATTTAAATATTTTCTCACCTGCTTAAATATCTTTATTATCAAATGTGTTCGAGATCTATTTCTATAAAATATGCTAGGTATGTCAATTCCTGAGTGATTTACAATATGTGCCCAAAGCATAGCTGAATATTTCATTTCAAAACTGTATTTATTATATGCAAAATATTCTGAAAAGATTCAATGAGTTTATGAATGGCCCAAATCACGTACACAGTGATATGATAAAACCAGCTCTACTAACAAATGCCCTTTTAAATGCAAATCAACCCCCATATTGTAGCTCTGATTAAAATAATTAGAGAGGATTTTTTAATATAAGTCAACATTTCAACTATCAGAGGTTAATAGGTGGAAGTTATATCATTTAGTGCATACATGCTCAAATGATGAGTACTGCTGTGGTAGAGGTTGAGAGATAATTCCATATGTTTTAGAGAAAAAATAGGTACATATATAACAATCAGGTTGTCATTGTTCACTTCTTTTATAAGCATTATATAACTCAAAGAAGCAATCTCTTGTCAAGGATGGTTCCTTTCCCTTACTCCATGTGCCTTTGATGAACAAATTAATCATATTAGAGTGGATTGGTCTCAATGAAATATTAAGCAGAGAGAGAAGTACACATATTGTACTTCTGTTTTGGCTTTAGTTATTTTCTGCAAAGATCCAGATGTCTGGTGGTCTCAAATAGATCATCTAAAGCAGGTACCCATTTCAATTTAAAGTTAAGGTATTTTTTTAAGTGTTACTTTATATCCTCAGGGAAATCAAATTTAAATCCATTTTAACAGTTACAAAAAGACATGCAAGTTGAGAGCAGATTAAAAATCGTTCTTCCAGGACTTAATAAGTACCATTTGAGAGAATGAGACATCCTTCTAAATTAAATTAACTACCTCCTCTATTTTCCAAGGACTATGTTCTTTACAAATATAAACAAACTTGCCCTCTGAGATTTCTACAAGTGCATCTTTGAGAAGAAATAAAATGAGGAGCACAAATTGACAATTAAAACTCTACTAAAGTTCTATAGTCTACCAATGCATCATTTTAATTTTTAAAATTCTATGTTATCTTTATAACTTATGTCCTATGTTATTTTACTGCACTCCCACTGAATTACTGGAGAAACCCAAGTCTTCTAGTTTTTTTATAAGAACATCCTTTACTTGAAGCAATGATTCACTGCCTATATTGCTAAGAAAAGTACTATAGGGTTTTTACCTGTTTTGAGAGAGAGTAAGATTTTGTAGTAAAGGCAGCCAATATGAAGACAATGCTTCCACAGTTGAAATGCTATTCTCATCCAAGTGCAATTCTCTTAGAAGGACATGATTCTCCAAGGATGGAAACTGTATTTAATTTGGTTTATTAGTTTACATAAAGAAAAATATTTTTTTCATTTAATAAAATTGAAAAATATAAAATCTACCCAAACTGACAACAGATAGATTCCATTAAACGTCATATCACAAATCAAAGTGTAATACCACTCATCTTTAGGTTTAAATATCTAATAACTTTAAAAATTTTAATATTCTTCATAAAAGGTATATCTTATTGAAATATAATTAGAATTTCATGAATGATAAATCTATAGTATTTACATGGTGAAATATAACTGAAAAGTAATTGGTTGTTTTTATATTGTAACAATGTCAAATTAGATTTATTTATAAAATATTACAGCTGTTAAATAGTTCTTAAACAGAGAAAGTCTAAAATAGTTAAATATATGAAAAATCAAATCCAGCCTATTAGTAAAAAGGAACACAGAAACTGTGGAGCGCCCCCGCCCTAACATGGCGCCGAGAGCACCCAGACCTCTACATAAACAAGCCCATATTTGGTTATTGTTCCTGTTCCGGAACGCGTAGGCACTGCCTCAGCCTATCAGTGCTTGCCTGGTGGCAAAAGAGGACTGGTTCGGGGGACAGATATATAGGGAGCCCGGGTGGGGGACAGATATATAGGGAGCCCAGGTGGGCTGAGGGAAGAAGGCCGGGGAGAAAGGAGGGAGGCTGGGGAGAAAGAAGGAGGGAGAAGGAAGAAGACTGTAAGAAGCCTGGGGTAATAAAGCGTTCCGGAGACCTTGTCAGCGTCATCATTTGAAGCGACAAGAAACATTAAAAATTCCTTTCATACATAGAGTTGATATTTCTAGCAGGAGAAAAAAGTTAGAGCCAGATGATGACACAGGCAGAATGTGATGCTCTGTGAGGCAGACCCACACCAGAACGTTGACACAGACCTCCCCAAGTATACAAGCAAGTGTGTGCCCATGATAAAGTGAGTTGAGGCTGGGCATGGATCACAGTGTTGAGAGCCTATCCGGAGTGCCTCTCTAGCTCTCTTTCTCTATCTCACTCATGGACTAAATAAGTAAATTGAAAAGGAAGGAGAAAAAAAAAGAGAGAGAGAGAGAGAGAGAGAGAAGAAAGGTAAAGAAGAAAAAAAGAAAAGGGGAGGAGTGGGGAGGGAAACAGGAAGACTAAATAAATAAATTGAAAAGGAAGGAGAAAAAAAAGAGAGAGAGAGACAGAGAGAGAGAGAGAGAAGAAAGGTAAAGAAGAAAATAAGAAAAGGGGAGGAGTGGGGAGGGAAACAGGAAGGGGTAGGGCAAGGAGATAAAGGGTCCAGTCATTATGGCATGCTGGTCGATGCGGCTACTTGGAAGTCCAGGGCCACATGAGAGGCTCATGTTCAATTATTGACCCATCTTAAAAGATGTGCACAATAGCATGCCTATAGTTCTACCTACTCTGGAGACCACGACAGGAGGATTTTGACATAGGGAGACCTTGTCTTAAAATAAAAATAGAAAGGAAAATGAAAAAAAGGAAAGAAAAAAATTCAGTTAGATATTACCTCAGTTAGATAATTTCCCTGTAACTTCAATATCTGGAGCAATCCACAATTTTCAATGCCTTCAGCATCAGTAAGATGATTATGTGAGCAGTCCAGGTATATAATGGTAGGTGTATCACGAAGACCTCTTATACTAATTAACTGGTTGTGATCCACAATTAGTTGCTGAAGATTTTTCAAAGATTCTAGACCACCTGAAAAAAATGTTTTCTAAGATCACTCAAATCATACACTCTCCCAGACTCTAAAGGAGAGTTTCAATTTTTTTTTCTAAATGATTACACATGTGTATTCCCTAATACTTTAATTATAAGTGAAGCCAGTCTAAATTTCTCATGAATCTTATAAAATGTGTCATTTTAAAACTGGCATATGGGGGATATAATTTTAAATGACATAATTATTTATCAACTGAAAATTGAACAAAATTTAAAAGTATAGATAGGCCATTTAATGTTTTACTTTCATATAGTAGCAGAAAAAGGAAGAGATAGATCTTGTCTTTTTTTTTTTTTTTGCAATTGCTAGAGGGCATGTGCACTCCTCTGAGAGAGACGGAGAGGGAAAAAACACCCTACAATGGGGCGTAGTCATGCCACAATCCCTTCTCCTCCATTTCTTCATCATGTCGGAATTCTGGGCATCCTGAACCCAATGATTTTTCAACCTGCTTGGGCCGGCAGTCAGCCATATGAGATCTGGCTCCCTTAATCACTAAGCTATGGAGCTAGCATAAAATTTAGTTTTTAAAAGACATTTTCTAGGCTAACTAGTGGTCTAATGGTTAAGGGAACTTGATCCCACATGGCCAGCCAAATATTTTGAATCTAGAACCCAACAGCTTGAAAACCATGCCAGGGTCGTGTGTATGCATGTCCCAAATCCCAACAGAATGGAGAAATGGAGGAGAAGGGATTGCAACATGAGCATACTCCATTGCGGTGCCTTTTTCCTCTCCCTCTTTCTCTGTCTCTCTGTCCCTATTTGGTGAGTAGATGTAATCTCTGGCAAATTATAAACAAATACAAATGAAAATAATTTTTCATACTCCACCACAATGGAGTATGTCCCTATTTGGTGAGTAGATGTAATCTCTGGCAAATTATAAACAAATACAAATGAAAATAATTTTTCATCTCATTCCAGGACCTCTGAACTTAGAATCCTTGCGTAAAACTGTGTATAATGTTATAATGCCATTTTCTGGGACCAGCAAGTGGCATAATGGTTACATCACTGGATTTCCACATGACTGACGGCGGTTCAAGTCCCAGACTCAGAGACTTAAAACTCATGTCGGACACGTGTATGCGCATGCCCAAAATCTTGAGATAAAAATGGAGGAGAAGGGATTGCAGCGTGACCATCCCCCCAGGGGGTGATTTCTCGCTTTCTGTCTCTCTATTTCTCTAGCAAATGTACACTCCATACAACAAAAATTTCTCTCTCAATAAAATGCCATTTGTACACTCCATATAACAAAAATTTCTCTCTCAATAAAATGCCATTTTCCTACTGTTGGAACGTCTACCTTAGATTTTCAAATGAAGTAAGCACAACCATGTCAGAATCATCAAAATGCAGTATTACCATATTATTTAGATATTTCAAGATTTTCATGTGTGATTTCCCTTTTGACCAGATATATTAAAAATCAATGATACTACATGAAAAATAATAGATGAGGCTTAGAAACTATTATCTCAGTGATCATACGGGGAAAAAAACCTGAGAAAATTATTTAGATAGTAATGTATCAAAGACCCATAGAAGAAAAAAGAGACTGAATCCACAAACCAGCAGCTGGTTTGGTGGTTAAGGAAATGGACTCTCAAATGGCTAATTGCGGTTTGAGTTTCAGATCTGGCAGTCTGCTTTCTCACTTTACCTCTCTCATCATGTTAAAGGAAACTCACAGAGAATAGCAGATCAAGCAAACAATAGGAGGGTAAAAGAAGAGAAGGTATGAATAAAATAATATACCCTTTACAATTATGAAAAACATCTTTATACTAAACCATATAAAGTCAACAGTGTCAGGCACAGTTGCAAAGGCATGAAAGAGGTCTCCACTTTGAAAGTGAGGAGTGAATCCTTTTGTACTGCCCCTTTCCCTCACTCATTCTAACATGTCTGCTTTCTTGCTGTTCTTCAAATATGTTACACGTGCATCCACCATAGAGCTGTATATGTAAGAAACAACTCTCAATGTGTGACATATTAGACTTCACAAAATTAAATAAAGCTTACTAACCAATATCAAGTTTTAAAGACCATGATTTTCAATCAATACACAGAGAAGGTACCACTAATTTATTCAGCAATCTGCTGAAGATTCCAAAGGTGGTATGATTTCAAGCCTCAGAATACTGAGGAATATTTGGGACCAGCAGTTAGCGTAATGGCTCTGTCGCTGGACTCCCATGTAGTCGACTGCAGTTCGCGTCCCGGACCCGGTGGCTTAAAACCCACACCGGGTGCGTGTGTGTGGGCGCCCAGGATCCCGAAAAGAGAATGGAGGAGAAAGGATTGCGGCGTGGCCATCCCCCCTGGGGGGTGATTTATTGCTTTCTGTCTCTCTGTCTCTCTCTGTCTGTCTGGCGAGTGCATGCACCCAAAAGCAAAAACCTTCCCCCCCCCAAAAAAAAATACTGAGGAATATTTAATTTGCCACTTCTACTTTTACGAATCTACTATATAGTAATATGCAATATAAGTGAATTTAAATAAAATATAAACTAATATACAACAAATTTAAATAGGCCATATCATTTAAATTCAAAGAAATGGAGATGTTAAATATCCATTAATAAGAGAACAGTTAATGGAATATCTCTAAAATAAACACTCATAATTTTCAACATGCAGTCATACTGACAAGGAAGGTTGTCTAAGATATATTACCGTATGTAAAACCTAAGTAGAGGGCCAGCAGGTGGCATGGTGGTTAAGGTGCTAGATTCCCACATGCCTGACCACAGGTCTGGTGGCTTGCTTTCTCACTTTCCCTCTCTCTCTGGTGAGAATGCATGCTCTGCAGCAAATTAAAAATGATAATAGATGAAGTTAAATAATTCTTTAAAAAAAACACTTAAGTTGAATACATAAGCTTCTAGCTATGGAATACACTTAAATCTATATCTTGTTGTCTATAATGGTGTTGCATAGGATGAGATCTGAAATACTTCATAAGCAATTAACAGTGGTCACCAATGCAAAATGAGATGGAGAAGAGGTAGCATACAGACAGTCTCACTGCTTACACTGTGGATGTCTCTCTAAATTTTTTATTTTTAAAAGATAATGTACTTAAGTGAATTTTAAAAATATATTTGAAAAAAATCACAGCAAGTATTTAAAAGAACAGTTATTCTGTATTTAATTCTAACCTACAACAACAAAAAAGGTGGTGGGTGACTTGAACTACTGAAAAACTTGATAAATAACCTCTTGGCCTAGTGGTTAAGGGAGTTAGATTCTACATAGCTGACTGGTATGAATCTCAGGTTAGTGGCTTAAGAAACTTGTCAGGCATGTGTGTGTGCATGCCCAAAATTCTGACAGGATGGCAAAATGGAGGAGAAGGGATTGTGGTATGACTACACCCCTTGGGGTCAGGGGTGCATGTACACTCTAGCAATTTAAAAATAGGAAAAGAAAAGACCACGGTTTGAGTCCTGGACCTGGCCTTGCTTTCTCACTTTCTCCCTCTCCCTCTCTCTCTGTTGCTCTGTAGTCAAACTTAAAAAAAAAAAAAAAAAAACATAATAAAAAATGATGATGAATAAAAAAAATTCTTAAAAAAAGGAAAAACTTGAAAAACCTGGTGATGTTCTTTATCATAAAGGTTTGCTATACAGACACAGTGATAGAACATTGTAACTAAGAGAAAAGGCATATCTCTTAGATTTTAAAATAAAAGATTTAAAAGAAATGTAAGAAAATAGCAATGAAGGTGACTCAGTCTGGTCTCTAAAACATTGACCAAACTATAAGTGAGAAGGAAAGTGCATTTAAGAAAAGCAAATTATGATTATACGATTTAAAAATTAGCATAGTGGGAAAAACAAGAGAAAATCATCTAAAAAACACATAGAGCTGGAATCTGCCAACAACCAGGTGAATAAGTGTGGAAGCAGACCTTTCAGCTCTGTTGATCTTTGAGAGGATGGCAGTCCTGTGGTCAGCCTGACAGCAAGCTCATGAGAAACCCTGACCCAAAACTACTCTGCTAAGCCATTTCAAGATTTCTATTCCACAGAAAATGTCAGGCCATAAATGTCTGATTGTTTTAAATTACTAAATTTTGGGGTTGCTTGCTACACAGAAAAATATAACTAATACAGTGAGGATTTGATTCTGAAAAAGAAAAACATAACTCAAGGTAAAAGAAATAATGTTGAAAATGAGAGAGAGAGACAGAGAAGAGAAAGAGGCACAGAGAGTGAGAAAGGAACCTCTCCTCCCCCTCCCCCCCAGGGCAGATGGCCACATAACAATTCCTTCGCCTACATCCTCCTCTGGAGATTTTGGGCATGGATATACAATGCTCCATGTGTTTTTCAAGCCAATGGGTCCAAGACTCCAACCATGTAGTTGGTCATGTGGGGTACAGTCACCTTGACCACCAAGCAACTGGCTGGTGTGGAAGAACATTTTTAAAAAAATTTAATAAAAAAAGTTCAAAGATCATAAAACAACAGTAGTAGTTAAATGAGTAAAGCAAAAATAACTCCATGACAGAATTAATAAATGATTTAGAAACAACACTGGAGAGAATGAAATTAGAAGCTGAATTGCCCTTGAAAAGGGGACAATCACAAGTGTGAAGAAGTAAAAGGAAAGTGACATAGATGAAATCAATTAAACACTAATAGACATAACAAAAAGGTAAATATGACCAAAATATGGATCACCTATAACTGCAAAATCAGACTAAATGATATCTGAAATATATAAGAAACAAAATTTTCTAGAACTGAAGAAGCAACTTAATCTATGGTGTATAAAAGATATTACATTCCAAGAAAAACTTGCTTGGATGTACTGACAACAATGTTTCTGGATTAAGTTACTGATTTAGAAGAAAGAAAATAGTATTCAGGCAGAAATCGGTTATGAGGAAAGGCAAATTCAGTTAGCTTCAAAGTTCAGCACAGCCACACACAATACCATATATGAAATAGAGCAATGA